TTTTTTTTTCCATCATACCATTCTTCAGATTTTAGTTTCCCTTGTTGTCTTGGTTACAAGAAACTAATATGTAATTTTTTTATTTGAAATTTATTTTTCAATGATACCTACAAAACAAAAATACATATTTATGGGGTATCATATGACATTTCAATACATATATTTCCCAGTGATTAAATCAGGATAAACATATCTGTCTTCTCAAATATTTCTCATTTCTTTATGGTAGAAACATTTAAAATCCTTCCTTCTGCATTACTGTCATCTGTAGTCACCTCTTGACAGTAGCGCCCGGGACTCCTTCGTCCTGTCTGCCTGTAGCTCAGTTCACACTGACCCACCTTCCCCATGGCTCCCGCTCCGTCACTTCTGATTTCTGTCTGTAGGTCACAGTGGGGAAGGAGGAGCACATGCTTTAAATGTACACCGTACACATATGTCGTTTTGTGATGTTATGTAGCTAGTTTAGGGATACAGTTGATTAGCTTAATTACATTTGTCATTAAAATTTTTAATTCTGTAAGTGTTGGTCCCTAGAGCTTTACCAGAGACTCAGACAGTGAAGACCCTTGTTTACTGATGTGTGACTCAGGACTTTTTAAAATCTGGGTGGAGGATTCTGCTTTTCCCACCACCTTCCTCTATCTGTAGAGTGGGGAACGCACCCTTGATCGCGGTACAAACCAAGAAGAGCAGCAGTGTCAACTCACCCGTGACTTAGTGAGTCTCTGGTGTCACCCCTGTTGACACCATGTCTCATGGCGAGCTGTGATTGGGACCCGTCTCTGACTGAGAGCCCCTGAAGATAAGAATCGTAACAGGTGTTCATTCCTACTCCTAGTTCAGTGCCTGGTTCACAGTGGACGCTCAGTAAACATTCATTAAATTGAATTAAACTGAATTGAATTGGATTATAGCACCACAGGAGATGGAGATTTTTGAGTTTGCATTTTAAGTGAGATTGATTTAAAACAAATCTAGAAAGAAAAATTATTCTTTTTGTTTTGTTTTGTTTTTAAACATAGACTAAATTTAGGATACAGCTAGCTACCAATATGTTCACTGCCCATAATCTTTTAAGCATTCTGTGCAATGACTCACCGAAGTCCCCAAATAGATTTTTTTTTTTTAAGTCACAATGGCCATAAGAAGCAAAATAAGGTTTGGAAAATATAGTGTTTCCTTTTTGCAGTCAGCAGTGTAGGGTCTTGTTGATATACAGAGGAGGATCTTTTAAGTATAATTTTAGCAAAGTTATTTTTTCCTTTGTGTTGAAATGAAACACAGATCACCTGATAAGTTCCTATAGGGCTTCTCACTTGTTTCATTCTTACTAGAAGTCACTCATCAAAGACCTGGGATGCTCACTTTCGAAAAGCAGCACCACCTCGTTTCCTAACACTTGTCTTCTGACCTCCTAGCGTTCCAGTCCAGCTGGCCAACAGACCAGGCCACCCCGAGATGCCTGTATTTCAGGAGAGTAAATGAACTCAACTTACTCCTTTCCCTCTACTTAACTATTTTTTTTTCTTTTGCAAAGGAGTTTGGAATTTAAATCCTTCAAACCCAGAATCTTCCGAGTCTGAAACTATGAAACAATAATAATAAAGTACCTGGTCATTCTTTCAACCCTTTGTCTTCTGTAGATCTGTCTCCTTCTGAGAAAGTCCTGAACTTACTTATAAATACCATCCAAATAACCCCTGTGTTATAGAAAAGGTTCTCTTGCCAATGGGTTGCTATTTTAATTAATTCACTTCTTCAGCATACCTCTACTGGGTGCCTTTGCTAAGCCCTGGAGAAACAAGCTGAGTAAAAGGTAGTCCCACCCTGAGGAGTTCATGATCTATTTTGGCAACAAGAATATAGACAGTGCCATGTTAACAATACAGTACTAAAATAGCCCTAGGACTAAGTGATAATAGTGGTAGAAGTGACAGTTCAGCATGGGGGGGGTTGTGAAGGCTTTGCAGGAAAAGTGATTTTTGATTCTTAGCCTTAAAGATAAAAAGGATTTCAGCAGAGAGAGAAGGGGCAACCTTACATCTCAGACACAGCACAGTAAGAGCAAAAGTATGGAGGTGTGAATGTTTGTGACACGTTTAGGGAAGAGTGAGTGCTGTTGGGCGTGGATGGCAGGGACTACCCTGTGGGACATTGACCTAGACAAGTGAGGGGCAGCCTTAAAATTCAAATCATGCTGAAGGGCACGGTGTCTAGTCCATGGGTTTGAATCCCAGCTAAGCCACTCACTAGCTGTTGTGACACTGGCAAGTCACTTTACCACTCTACAACTTTTTTCATTTTTTCAAATAAAGATAATAGGAGCAGCTATTTCATAGGGCTTCTTGTATATATATTCACACATACACGTGTAAAACAGTTCTCTGAACAAAATAAATACAACGTATTATCAGGCCACAGTAAATGTAAATACTAGTTATGATCAGGCTACAGTATGAAGGGCTTGAAACTTTATATACATTTTTCTGTAAGTAAAAGGTTTTAAAGAAGAGGTGAGAGTATGCAATGTGATATAATCTGTATTTTAGAAAAGTTACTCTGGTGTGTCTTTGGAGAGTAGATAAAATAAGGAAGAAACTCAGGCACAATAAAAGTTCTGAGACAATTTCAAGAGTATAGATAGAAGATGCTGATGTAACATGGTCCTGAGTTAATATAGGAGCCTTGCCCTTTAAAATTCTGGGTTCCTATCTA